GCTTATTCGACAAGCCTGGAAATTTCAAATTTCTTATTTTTATTACATTTTTATCCAACATCCCCCCAATAGTGTTCACAGCAGTTAAAAAACATCATTAAAAACATATTAGGCTAAACTGGTCATCATAATAAAAAAGCATTCAAATCATCACAATAATCAGTAAATATTAAAAGGGCACTTGGAAGAAAGGGCACACTCTTTCTAAAAGTGGTGAGAGTGGAGACTGATAATAAAATTGGAAAAGAGTGCATTCCACAGTCTGGGTGAAACACTGGAGAAAACCTTCCCCGTGTTACCATCAAGTGAGCCTTTGCAGATGATATTCTCAAGAGATCCTCTTTTGAAAAGCTTAAGGCTTAGACAGTTCATAATAAGACATGAAATCTCTTAGACAGCCAAGTCCTAAGTTGTTTAATTAAAGACAATTGATCATGAGTGTTTGCCAACCCATATTCTGTTTGTTTGTACCCAAATATAATTGATTGCATAGGCTTTTCATCTTGCACATGTTTAAAAATTGTCTTTTTTTTTATGGGCATGACTTGCTAAACATCAATCTGGCTTGGACATCCCCCACACTAAAGGATAGGAAATGTGTTGCCTGTCAAAGAGGTTTGAAGCAGTTGAAATAATACTGCAAACCAAAGCCATATTTTTTGCTATAATTGCTAGTTAATTTGTTATTTCACCAAAGCAATTCACATGTTCAAAGGAAGGATTCCAGAACCATTAAATGCTAAACATCAAGGCTGCATAACACCCTTTCAATTGCATAATGTTCAAAATGGTCCATTACAATTTAGCTGAAAGGAACCAAACTCATGTCATGCGGTGACACATCACCTGGAAGTGACAGTCAAGATCATTTAAAAAAAGAACAGCACTGGATTAAGACCTTTAGAGGTCCTATGCACTTAAAAGATTTTGGTGCCCTCATATATATCTAATTCAAAATATAAACAAAAAAACCATGAAATAAAATTTTATTTTTCAAAATGAACCAAATCCTACAGTAATATGGAAAATAATGTTTCTTTTTGTATACTTCTATTTTATTTAACTTCTATTATAACTATATATATAACTATATATGGGGATGTGATGGCTTAGTGGTTAAGATGCTAATTCTGACATTTGTAGTAAGATCGGAAGGTTGGCAGTTTGAGGCCCAAATGCTGCATGATGGGGTGAGCTCCCATTAATCCCAGCTTCTGTCAAGTTTGAAAGCATGCAAATGCAAGTATGGTAGATAAATAAGTACCACTTCAGTGGGAAGGTAAGAGCATTTGGTGCATTCATACTGGCCACATGACCACCAGAGTAGTCCTTGGACAATGCTGGCTCTTCAGCTTAGTAATGCAGATGAGCACATCTCCCTACAAACAGTTACGACTAGACATTCATGTCAAGGGACTACCTTTACCTTTTTACTTTATATATATTGTAGGATCCAGCATTGTGTCAGCCATTGGGCTAGGACTCTGGAGACCAGGGTTTAAATCCTGGCTCAGTCATGTAAATTCACTGGATGACCTCTGGGAAATCACACTTTCTCATTCTCAGAGGAAGGCAA